GATGCCGCCAAGACGGCCCGAATGAGCTCCACGGAAGCTCCTCCAGAAAACAAGGCGAGAGGAGGCACCAATGACGGCGTTCCTCTGCCTCCTCGTGATAAATACCATCCTCTCCAACACCGCCATCATCCATCATCAACAACAGCATCATCGCCACTACTTCCATAAGGTCATCATGTTATCCGTCCCCCTCGTCCGCCACAATCTTCCTCCTCATCTGATCCTCCTCCTAATCCTCCTATGTATCCCCTCCTCCTCGCCATATTCACAGCAGTATCCAGATCCAACACGATCACGGCGCGAAGAGCATGTCACTTGTTACGCCTCCCCCACGCCTTGGGCCAAGAGGTGTCACGCGATACGGCTTCCTGTCAATCGCCACCCAATGTGCTCGGCTGGAACGGTGCCGGGACATACCGAATCCAACTGGATACTGTCAAACGCAAACTTCAAGAAACAAATGGCCCGAATAACGGGTAACCTGGGTAATCCGATTGCCTGCCAACCGTGCCCACGTGCCGAAACAACACACAATCAACACTCCTTACGATAGATGTTATGTAACCCATCTACACATTGCAAAATACAAAATGGCCAAATGTATACAGCAATTAACGGGTGGGCGCAATAACAGCCGGGCCAATGTGAGAGGACTCACGAAAGTACTTTCTTTGAAGATCGAAAAACTTGAACCAGAAGCAACAGGGAAAACGATTGGGCCAGCAGGCAGCAATGCGACTAGCAGCACCAGAGGACACCATGGCTGCACGACTGCACTGCAAATAGTGAGATCATATTTGAATTCGCGTTGCGGCTGATACTGCTTCCTCCGTGGGTAATGCTGAGACTGCTAGTGACAGAAATGAACTGCTGCTATGGATGCGTACTATCATAGTTGCAAATACGGATACGCCTGCCAGATGTACTACGACCACCAACGTTACCGTGTTGCACACATGCCTTAACACTACCAACGGTCGCACTATCACCGCACTACTAGTCGCTATAAGGTATCGAAGTTCGAGCGCATAGTTACAATACAACACTATTACGCAATATCTCTACTGCACATGACACCATCATATTTCAGGATGCCTGAACGGCAAGAATCACTCTCACATGACATGCACACCATCATAACACATCTAGGATATAATCGACCGGGGTAGTTAATCCGCCGATCTGGCGTGTGAGTTTAAGAAGTCTAAGCTGAAGCTCTGCTTCAGCATGAGCTTTAGCTCTGCTTGGGAGGTGGGGAGGGGGGGGGACCTCATTAACTGTCGAATTCAGTGCTCGGCACCTCCCCCCCCCTGCCAGCCCCCCCCCCTCCCCATCGATTTCGCCCCCCCCCCCCCCCCCCCCCCCCCTCAGAGTTTTGCTCTGCATGGGTGAGGGCAGGAGAGGGGGGGGGGGGGGGCGCTCTGCAAGGGGGGGAGGGCTGCAAAGGGGGGGGGCCCTCTCAGGCAGGAGCGGGAGCTGCAGGAAAGGCGGGGGGTCCGCTTTGCAGATGGGCGCTCTGCAAGGGGAGGGGGGGGGGAAACAGGAGGGGGGGGGACAGGAGAGAGGGGGGGGGGACAGGAGAGAGCGGAGAGGGAGAGGGGGGGGGGAGACAGGAGAGGGGGGGGGGGGGGGACAGGAGAGAGGGGGGAGGGGGGGACAGAGAGGGTGGGGGGGGGGGCAGGAGAGAGAGAGGGGGGGGGGGACAGGAGAGAGGAGGGGGGAGAGGGGGGGGGGCGGATCATCACCATCTCCATCACCATCACCATCACCATCGTCACATCACCATCATCATCATCATCATCATCATCATCCAGAGCACCCCGGATCGGCGGCACTGGCCGGAGGCCACTACAATACAGTGGACAACAGTACTACGAAGTAGCACTAGAGGTAGCACGACATGTAATAGTACGCGGACAAATAGAAAGGTAGGACACGCAACGTAGTACGACGAGTGTGCTGCTAGTACTGTTACGCATTGTAATCAGAATGAGGGTGGGCGAACGGTCATTCACTGTCCCTGGGCGCGTGGCTGAAATGAGGTTCTGCGGCGCGGATTGTTATTGGTGATGTTGGTGTTGGTGTTGGTGCTGGCGTTGGCAACAACAACATCAATCCGCACCGCATAACCTCACTTCAGCCACGCGCCCAGGGACAATGAATGACCGTGTGGCCCCTTCACTCTGATAATGTGTAAACATGATGCGTCTGACGCGGGCTGCTTCAGAACCTCGCAGACTGCCGACGTCCCCGCCGCACCCTCACTATTTTCCACAACTACGGGGGACTCAAGCCGTACTACTGTAGCCGATGGTTTCAGGGGGTCCAAAGGTTCAGGGCATGCAGGAAAAGGAAACACATCCTGGGCAAGCAGGGAGTCAAGCTAGGGAAAGGAGTCGGCTGGTTGGTGAGGGCGAGATAGAAGTGGAGAGAACGAGGAAGAGAGAGAGAGAGAAGCATATTTCCAGCTTGCCCTCATCTCAATGAAATACTACTGGGACCAGGCCACTGGCATTGCAAAACTAAGGAGTCTCCGCGCAGGGTGGATGATCGATCGATTGGCGCACACTCCACTGAATCTGGAGACGTTACTCCAATAGGGAACCGAACTCCATACAGCGACGCTTTTCCGCCCCTGTACTGACACTTGCACAAGACAACGGATCCTGGTGAATACGGGATCCTGGAGTACACATGCTTGGCTACTTCCCCGGGGAACGGAAGCAACACGGATACACCACACCACCCGACGTCGCCCCCGGCCCTCAAAAAGTCCTGGGATTGAGAAACCGCCCGCCACTGACCATGTACATGCTCCAATATCCGATCCGATGCGCTGGAAGTCGCTCAGGCCAAGAAACATGGCAGTCCTCCGCCACGTTCGGCCGAGGATGCCGAGCCGCCGTGCTCATCGGAGCGCTCCAGCCGCGACACCGAAGGCGGGCAGCACGAGGTGGATTGGAGTACCAATGGCTGAGAAGAGAAGGAATATACATTCATACACACACGCACAATTATGCATATATATATATATATCAGTATACATACACAGAGACCCATGCATGTTGCGAACGATGTGCACAACGAAGACGGACGGCATACAAAAGGATGAGGAGGCATGCCATGACGACACAAGACGTGGTGTCACGCTCTGGCAAGCAGCGCACAGAAGAATAATAGAGGCCAAGACCGTGATGGAGATGCTGGGCGAGGGTGGATCCCATAAACCCTCTGGAGGTAGATGGTTCAGGCAGCTCCATCATCCATCCCCGTTGGGTAGATGGTCTACCACTCCCCTAGATTACACACCCCTTCCACCACTCGCCCGGCGACCGACCAGGAACAATGCCAACACCCCCCATCAGCCCTGCCAACACAAACTAGTTACACAAAATGCACTTGGAAACGATCTCTGTATCCTGTCCGGGCGACCCGCGATCATGCTGCTGAGCGCGGGTTCTACTTGTGCATTGGGATGGTGGGCGGTAGTGGTCGAGACAACTTGCGGCGTCCCTGCTGGGAGCGCGACCACTCCCGTAAGCCCACCCCGCTGGGCCTGCGGAACGAGGGAAAGCAGCAAGGGGTTGGAGCGTCCAAGGTGGCCCAAGATGGCTCCAAGATGGCCTCACAGATCCACAGAATGTCGCCAGTATGGTACAAGATCGCCAAGGGCTTCCAGCATGACTCGGAGAGGCCCCAAGACCGCCCCAAGTGGCCACGGAGCCTCGTAAGGACGCCCCCGAGTGACCGAAATCCTTATGAAGCCTCAGGATTTTCGCTGTCGATTGGCTGCTCTCCGAGGCCTTACGATGGCTCCAAGTTTGACCAAGAGAGCCCCCAGGAGGGTTTCGAGATGTCCCCAAGAGCAACCCATTAGCGTTCTACGTGGGCCGCACGAAGCGTTGTTTCTACCCCAGGCGGGACACTCCTGATATAGTACAGATGTATGTTGTGATGACCTCCAAGATGGTCCTAAGAGGCCCCAGCGTCTCCCCAGACAGCCCTCCAGCAGGTTTCGAAAACCCCCGAAGTTGCCTCAAGACGCCCCCAAGAAGATGGCTCCACGATGCCTCCATCAGCCTCCAACATCCTTCAAAAAGTCCCTACGTGTACTACTTCGGCAACTGTGTTTCGGCGGGCCCCTAACGCGCGGATGGAGCGAGCGCCGTATGGCATTAGCCGCGTAGATCCGATGTGTTGGGCAACTCGGGGGGGCAGCTCGCAGACACCAGCGCAACTCGCTCAAGACCGCCCGGCATGGCCCGAACACGATCCAAGACGGGTTCCAAGATGCCCTCCAAGAGGGGGCCCCACGATGCAATAACCTATAACTTGCCTTCGGCGTTTGAAGAATTGTAGCATTCTCACCCGAGGCGCTCACTGCAACCCAAGAGGGTTCCAAGAGGCCCTCCATACGAAACCCAAGGAGGAGCAATCAATACCTTCCTTATGCGTTTGACGCCGTTGGGCGTTACGGGTCTCTCACGGCCCAAGACGGCCCAAGATGCCTCCAAGTTCATCCCAGGACGGCCCAGGATGCTCCTGAGAGGGCTCACAGACGGCCGAAGAGGGCCCCAAGATGGCCGAGGACCTGTAGCGCCTGGAGGAGGCCTCCAAGACGGGCCAGAGAAGTCTTAGGTCGGGCATGTCCTCCTACATGCGGAAGTTGGAAGAGAATATTGCCAACAAAAATGAAACAATATTCAACATAGTCAAAGAGTCGTCCCCAGGCTATTGTTTGACAAGTTTCGAATGTTCCTCCTGTAGAGGGACATGTCCGACGTAAGAGAAGTCCCCAAGACTATGTTCGGAAGCATCAGGCGGGCCAAGAGCTCCTCAAGCCGGCTCAAGAGGCCGAAAGAGGATGCCAAACATTCCCCCAAGCCAAGAGGCCTCCTGAACACCAAAGAGCGTCGCGCGAGGACCCGAGGAGGCCACCGACATGCCTCCGTCTGCTCCTCCCTCTCCTCGTCCTCCTGTCCCTCCCTCCCCCTTGTCCTCCTGTCCCTCTGCCTCTTCCTTGACGGCACCACAGCATGCCCAAAAATGCAGGATCTGCAGACTGGCTTTCTGAAAGGGGGGGGCGCTGTGCCTCCCGCTCAGCGGGCTTGAGCAGCATCTGGCAATGTCCCGACGGAAGCGCGAACAACGACAGCGTAGGACAGCAATACGGGCGCTCGGAGAACATCTGAGAGAAGGTTGCTTGAGGGATGCAACGACTCTCCGAGGAGAGACGGTGGGAGATAAACAAGGCACAGCTGCAAAAGACACCGCGACTAGAGGCAGGAACATCGGCATAAACAAAACTGTTACAGGCCCGGGCGGATGTCTTGGATCTGGGCTAGAACCCCCTCCCTGGCGCGCAGAACGCTCCAGGGGCCGCGCCAGAGGCGCCGCCAGGGGTCCCCAGTGCGGATTCAAGAAATCCGCGCGGAGCGCCAAAAGTTGATGTTTATGGCGTTGTTTCGGCTACGAGCGACAGAACAGCGAGGGAACATCGGAGCATGGGAGAACACAATGTGGGAAGCGGTGCGCCCGTGTTGCCAGGTAGTGCCTGGAGACGCCCCGTTGCTTCTCCACCCATCGCGCGCGCGGCCCTCGCAATCCCCCCCCCCACGCGTACCGCAACGGACCTCTGTCGGGGAGACGTAAGACTCGGGTACGGGGGACTCGGGTTGGCCTGACGGGGACCATCATAAAAATGACTAGACCTAATCTGAAATTTGACGCGGGCTCCCGCTGCAAACATCCCACGAAAACGGGACCGTCAAAATCCAGGACGCGCTCGTTAACAAAAAAACAGCAAACCCGAGTTCTGGCTTACTCGAGTCTTACGTTACCCCGACTCTGCCGTCACACACCAACCTACTGGTGTGCCATCAGACCTGGGAGTGTTGCCATCGCCCTGAACAGTGGCGCCCAAGAGGCCCCCAGGAAGCCCCATGACGCCCCCAGGAAGCCCCCCCAAGAGGCCCCCCAAAAGGCTCCCAAGAGGCCCCTGAACTGCCCCCCCCGAGAAGATGGACGCGCGGGTGTGCCCAGCAAGGAGCTCTTCTCAGCACCCGGGTGCGCGGCGACGGGCCACTTGGGTGCCGGCGACGGGGCGCAACCCCGTCTCCGTCCTCATCCTCTGCCCCCACCCCCATCTTCTCTCTCTGCCTCCTCCTCCTCCTCCTCCTCCTCCTCCTCCTCCTCCTCCTCCTCCTCCTCCTCCTCCTCCTCCTCCTCCTCCTCCGCGCGGGGCCGACGTTCTTCGGTGATGGTGTACGTGGCCCCGTGCCGTCATGGCGGGCGGCGTCCACTCAAGGCGTCTGAGCGCCCGCGCTGCAACGCGGAGGCGCAGGAGAAAGAGGAGGCCAGTGAGGCCAGCCATGGCGGAAGGAGGGGGGAGGGCGAAAAGGATGATGTGTGTCCCTCTCCTCCTACTCCTCCTCCTGATCCTGCTCCTACTTCTTCTGTATTCTGCTCCACCTACTCTGCATGGTCCTCGTTCTCCCCCCCTCCTCATCCTGTTTCTCATCCCCGCATCCTCCCGCTTCACTTCTCCATCTTCCTCCCTCGCTCATCCCGCCTGGCCTCGAGACAGTGGGGGGGAGATGAGGAGAAAGAGGGGGGATAATCAATTCGGAGACCGATCGCAGGAAAGGGATGGAAAAAGGGAGGGGGCGAGGAGGATGAGTCGACGGACGAGGAGAAACGGGAGATGGAAAGCGAGGAGAAGAGGAGAGGGAACACGACGAGGATGAATGAGGGTGTCTATATATATACCAGATTTTGAAGGCTCGCGCCGCTTCGCCTTAAATCTTGGCCCATGGGGCGTTCGAGAACACGAGTGAAGGAGTGGCGGGGGAACTCATGGATCCCAGAAACTCATGGTTCCACAGGGGGCGAGGAGGTGAAAAAAGGGGTGGATTTTTTGGTGTCGGTGCGTTGGAGGAGTTGCTCTACTCACGGGTCCGCTTGCGGTCTCCGGTTGCCACCGCGCCCCAGACGTGCGGCAGGAGGACCTCCCGATGCCAGCGCCGGTGGGCCGCGCGCATCTTCTCTAGCCAGGAGTCCGTCGTCTCTGTTTTCCTCAGGCGTGTGCCATAAACGAAGGTGCGCACTTCGCAAACTGTGCATTGCGATTCGTGAAAATCCATGGCGCTGAAGCCGAGGAGCTCGTTCACTTTTGAATGCAACGACATGCTTCCCTGCCTGGAAGTCAACAGTTGGATCAACGTGCGGCCGAGGTCCCGCTCGCCCTTAGAAACGTTCGTGGCAACGGTGGCCCCGGCAGCCCCCACGGGCCCCCTGTCTGCCCAAGAGTTGTAAATCGAGAAAGCTTCTGGGCACAACTTCCGCAAGAAGTGAACATCTCCATCGCCGACATGTTCAATGAAAGAAATGTCTGATATGATCGATTGCTCCCAATTGCGCGCTCCGAATGAGCTCCGGAAGAAACGCATGTATACCAGCTGTGCCTGATAAGGCAGCCAATGCGCGTGCGTGGCAAGGAGTGTTTTTGTCATCTGAACCAACAGGACGGGGCTCTTGTTCAACTGGGCACTGTGTTCTCGTAGGGTAGCGGCAATGTGGTGCATGCGCACAGCAACTCTGTGAGGTTTTGTCCCGGATCCGTTTGGCACGAGATTGGAGTTGTCGTCGCCTTCTGTGAAGCTCGGGATGTGGTATCCTGCATCTGGTTGTCGGCCATACAGGTCTTCGCAAGTAACCAGTGCGTCGTAGAAGCGACGGACGTCGTAGGAATCCACCGAAATTAGAGCCGGCAACTTTTCGTCCGTAGCCATGGTGTTGCGCTGGCCCAAAAGTCGTTTCTGGAGTGTCGCCCGGGCGGCGGCGTCGCCCAGGAGCTGCGCCCGGGGCGTCTTTTGATGAGCGAGCCAACTATACACGGCCAGCGCGGTGATCAAGTAGTGGCCTTCGTTTAAGTAAACAGTTGACATGATGACAAAAAATGCCAAATTGATCCATGGATGTGTTTTGTTGGACATCATGAGGTAATGTTTTGTGGCGCTCGTAGTGTCCAGAATGGGATGGAAATGGTTGAGTTTGCGTTTGCTGAAGTCGTGGTTCACCTGAGGGGCAAGCTTGTCTGTGAGGTTTCCAAGGTTGAACGCGTCTGGCAGCTCTTTGACAGGAACCCAGTGGTGCATGTCCCGACCACATGTTTTGCGCTTGTGGATTGCATTCACGAAAACGTCACGATCATGTTTCTTGTAAGTGCAACTTCCATCCAAAACGCATATGGGGAAATGCGACAAATCGTGGTACGTAGCGTAGCTCGTGCAGTTACGACATGGAAGCATGAGGTGCCAACACGTCAAAACATATTTGTCACAAACAATGCCAAGTATGCCGTCCGAGGAAGCCGTTCTGATAGACTTCTGTTCGCTGGGTGACAACATGTTGCCAGTGGATGCGTTCGCCGCCCCGTCGGGCATAAGCGCATGAAGGGGGATGTGAAAAGGGAAGGTGAGCAGAGGAGGGGCGCGGAAGATTGGGGGGGGAGGAGGCTGACTAGCGGGCAGAAGGTGACGATGACACAGGAAAGCAGAGAGGGAGGAAGGGAGAGTGCAATGGAAAAGGAAGGGTAGCATGAGGGTGCGAGACAGGCAAGTGTTGATCTCTGGCCAGTGGGGGTTGCACGTAAGGGTGATGAAATAAGTTGAGGGGCCTTTCCGGCGTGCCAGTTCCAATGCGTCCACTCGGAGCCGCTTGAGATGGCGCGGGGAGCCAGGGACAGTGGAGGGGAGGTAGTACTTGGTGCCAATTGCGCTGGTGGGGATGTGTTCGTTGGCCAGAGCCTCGCACAAATCTTTGCGGCTGGCAATGCGAGTGCTTTGCTCTCTCCTGACCAGCGACAGCCTTTCGTCCTCCATCCGGCAGTGCATGTTGATAAGCCAGTCGTTCAACAGACGCCCGCGCGCGTGCGTGTGGGGCCGGCGGAGGAGGTGCTGGCGGTGCCACCACATCTGCGTCACGTGGTTGCCGGATGTGGACGCGGCGTCGGTGCTCCACCCGCGGCCGCCGCATGGGGACCACAGCGGGTAACTCAGAGGCTCGCAAAGGCACTGCAAGGGTGAAAGGTATTGTGGGCGGGAGCCTGGCGTCAAACGGAAGCACGCTGCCCTAGGTTCGGCGATGGCGTCGGGGCGTTGCTGCACTACTGCGGCCACTTCTTGGATGCCTTCGCCCCAGCGGAGGGTGACGGAAGCCTGTGGGGCACGGGGCCACACGGATTTGAGGTGCTGAACGTGCTGCATGTGCGGATTGTGCGGTATGATGAGCTTCTCCAGCTGGGAGACGATGGACAGGTCGAGGCCGCGCTCTCGTGCGCAAGTGCGGCGCTCGCGGTCGTCCACCACGAGGTGCCGGACCGGCCCAGAGTCGGCAGCCGAGTACACTTTCCTGTACATGGTGCCGTGGATGCGAATGAAGGACGGTCTCAAGACGCTTCCAAATCGGACTTCTCGTTCAGGAGTGGCGCTCTGGACTTCGTGGGCGGCGATGTGGTCTTCGACGGCGTCGTTGTTGGAGTCGTATTCTATGGCGTCCGAGCTTCGGGTAACGAATTGGCGCAGCAAGTACGTCTGCGTCAGAGTGTCCAGGATACGGTCGTTGAAACAATTTCTCGCCTCGTTTGTTGCTGTCAGAATCTTCCGGTGGGCGCACTCGGCGGGGTCGTTGACGTGGGGGAAGGAATAGCTGATGGCGTTGTCCATGGTGTGGATGACGGAGCAGCGGTCCAGCTCGATGTAGCCCGGCTCGCCATCGATGGAGTGCGTGTGCGGAAGGTCGCCCTGGCCGATGCGTTCGATCCACGAAGCGCAGTCTGCGTCGTGGATTTGCCGGCGCGTGGTGCAGAGTTGCCAAGTGCGGAAGGACGGCCACGAAGGCGACGTCGCGACGCTCGCGGCGCGGATGTCCTGTCTCGATGCGTGCTTGAGAACAGGTGGTATCTGTCGGAAGTCCCCGTATGTGATGATTACTTTTGGGACGTAGATGTCGGGGTGGGCGCGCTGTAGCGCCGTGAGGTAGTCGAGGACCGCGTCCCAAGCAGCGCGCTTGCAAGACGGCCGCTCATCCCATTGGATGACTGCGGCGGCTGCGATGGTACGGGCGTCCGCAGAGGAGTGGCCCAAGCGGCAGGCAAGGTGCTCTGCGTCCTCTATCGGGATCTTGAAGGTGGAATGCGCGGTGGCTCCATCTGGCAAGTTGAGGGCTGCTATGCCCGTAGAGGCCACATTGACGCAGCCTTTGTTGAAGGAGCGCACGTAGTAGGAGATGTACTTGGCGAGCGTGGATTTTCCGCAACCAGCTTTCCCGTGGCAAAAAAATGAGCCTCGACGTGCCGGAGCGCAAAGCGTCGATGACGTCCCTGGCGGCTCCGGACTGATCAGGGTCTCGTTTGATGAGGTTCCAGAGTCTGCCGGCTTCTGACGCAGCTGTTGCTGGGGTTTGGTTGGGAAAGTTGGGCGCTGGCATGCCATGGGCATTGCAAAGAGGAGCGGGGCGGCGTAGAAACCAGGCGTCCTCAGTGTTGCCTTGGGC